GGGCTGCAGAGGCCGCCCAGAAGGGGCCTCCGCGGGGTGGAGGGACTTGTGGGTTGCCCTCTGGGTGCTCATGTGGTCTGAAGGAGGAGGCAGAGTGAGGGTCTGAGGATCGCACCCCCAAGCACCCCGTCCTGCTCGGCCGTCTTCCCGGGAGGGGCCTCGCGCAGAGGGTGACTGAACACCCAGAGGTGCAGGCTGTTCCCGTGCCCGTGCAGCGCACAGGAGCCAGCTCTGCATCAGGACCCAGGGTGCCTGCTGGGTGCCACCAGGCGCTGGGCTCCGGGTCTCCCAGGGCCCGGCCACGGCCAGTGCAGCCAATGAGGACAGACCCCGGGTCACGTGACTGCCCCACAGTGTGTGTGTGGGGGCGTTTATCCCACAGAATGACAGCGGGATCCGGAAGAGACGCCGGTGCCCCTCTGTTCACCACAGCCGGGATCTGAGACCGACCCAGATCTCCATGGACAGACGACAGACGGGGGAGGACTGGTGGAGTCTACACACCATGGAGGGTCACCCAGCCCGAGACAAGGAGGGAACCACCGTGCCATTGTGAGGGCGGAGGGACCTGGCGGCTGTCCTGCTGGGGACATGAGCTGGACTCAGGACTGACCTGCTGGGTCCACAGGCAGGCGGGCAGCAGTGGGCCGGGCGGGGGCGCCAGGAGACGAAGTGGGGGTGGAGTCTCTGTCGGCTGGACGGATGCGCCTGCAGTGAACAGGCTGGCGTCTCCCAGTAACATAGGCAGCTCCCTGGGGCGCGCCCGCATCACACACAGGAAATCTCAGGAGGGCGCCCGGCATGGCCGCGCATGCGAATGGCCAAACTTGTCGACCTGCACCTCATAACGTTACACCTCCGTGATGTTCAACAGCAGCGAGGAAATGCCAAGGAGCATTGAGTGTCGTCGGTGCGGCGAGTGGGGACCCTCCCTGTGGTGCTGGGCAGGTGTGGACAAGAGGGGAGGCCGCTGGCCTGAGGAGCTTCCTGTTTCTTTATTTTTAATGTATTTTTATTGACTTCAGAGAGGAAGGGAGAGGGGGAGAGAGGAACATCCATGCTGAGAGAGAATCATGGATCGCCTGCCTCCTGCACGCCCCCGCCTGCAGTGAACAGGCTGGCGTCTCCCAGTAACATAGGCAGCTCCCTGGGGCGCGCCCGCATCACACACAGGAAATCTCAGGAGGGCGCCCGGCATGGCCGCGCATGCGAATGGCCAAACTTGTCGACCTGCACCTCATAACGTTACACCTCCGTGATGTTCAACAGCAGCGAGGAAATGCCAAGGAGCATTGAGTGTCGTCGGTGCGGCGAGTGGGGACCCTCCCTGTGGTGCTGGGCAGGTGTGGACAAGAGGGGAGGCCGCTGGCCTGAGGAGCTTCCTGTTTCTTTATTTTTAATGTATTTTTATTGACTTCAGAGAGGAAGGGAGAGGGGGAGAGAGGAACATCCATGCTGAGAGAGAATCATGGATCGCCTGCCTCCTGCACGCCCCCCACTAGGGATGGAGCCCGCAACCCAAGCCTGTGCCCTGACCAGGAATCAAACCCTGACCTCCTGGTTCATGGAGCATTGCTCAACCACTGAGCCACACCGGCCAGGCCGTTCCTGTGTCAGTGCACCAGGTCCCGACCGACTGGGATGGGACCAGGGGGCGGAGGGCCCCTCATAGGGACCCCACTCCGTCCACCACGGACCCTGGAGTCCCGGGCCTCCCACTCCCTCTGGGCCCGTCTGCACCGTGGGAAGCAGTTACCCGTGTTTCCTGCGAGGGAAAAGCTGGAACAATGTGGGGAATGCCGGCGAGAGGAGCTCCAGACAAAGCCGCAGCCAGGACTTCCGCCTTCGGGGAAACGCTGGGACTTGCCAGCAGCACACCTGGACCCGGGCCCTGGGTCCCAGCCCGGACACAACAGGTGCTCGCGCCGAGCCCAGCCCCCAGCCAGAGGCAGGCGGTTCACACGGGAACCAGGCTGGCACGAGGCGGTGCTTGTAGGACGGGCCATTCTGCCGCCAGGGCCGCCGGCACCTCCGCGAGGCCCGGAATGTGCTGTTCCTGAGCCATTTCCTTTACAGTCGGGAGGAAGGAATACTGAGCGTCAGCAGCGGCCACCAGACGGGCTCCACGGGACACACGGGCCTCAGGCTCGGGCCCTGCCGTTCTGGGAAGAGGGCCAAGCAGGCCACGACCTCGGGTCACCGGCCTCCCCTGCTGCCCGTGACTCGAAACAGCCTGTGGCCTGAATGGGGCACCCCCACCTGCTAGGAGAGGCTGAAGGCCCCGAGCGAAACGTCTCGCTGTCACAGTAACAGCCTCCAAGAGCTCAAGATGCTCAACTCTCGGGTTTTAAAAAGCATCACAACTTCTCCAGAATCTGTAAAACATAATGCGTTTATTTTCCAGTGCCCGTTGGAAACGAAGCTGAGACACGGGCAAGGACTCACCGTTTTTCTGCTCTGGACGCGGCACCTTACAACTGCGCTCCCGCGGCCAACGACAAGGAGCGCCCCTCGCTGCTGGGAGAACGCAGGGCGGGCGGCATCCGGCCCAGAGCGCGGCCCCAGGCAGTGCGGTGTGGGCGGAGGGTGGGAGGGCAGAGACCCACTCTGTGGTCCGGAGGCGGTGGGGGAGCAGGGGGGTCCTGGGGGCTGGTGCTGGGCTGAAAGGAGAGAGGAGGAGACGCCTCGAAGGCGCTGCTTTAGCTCCTCCAGGGAAGAGGGGGCCCCTGGGGCAGCCAGCTCTTCATGGGGCCTTAAAGAGAAGGTCTGCATGCAGGCGTTTGATGTTATCTTTTTATTGGTCTCAGAGAGGGAGGGAGAGACACCCCAATGATGGGAGAGAAGCCTCCTGCAGCCGCACACTGGTGGCGCCGGGGCATGTGCCTGACCGGACGGCACCGTGAGCCCTGGTTCCTAGTGGACGCTCGCTCAGCCACGAGGCCGGGCCGGCCGCACTAATGCGTTTAGTGGAACCGCAGGTTCCCTCCTATGGGCTGAGACACATGGCTGCACTGTCGGAGGTTAAAAGGCGGGCTCCCTCCATCCTTCCCGTGAAAGCCAGCTCACCGTCAACCACGCCCTCCTTAGCCGCAGGCAAAGGCGCAGGCTGAGCCCCACATGCTGCTGGCATTTTAAGTCCTGAATCTGGGAGGGCCGCGTGACTTCTCTGCGATGTTTCGCCATCGGGGGAGGGGGGCCTGGCCGCTTGGACCTGCCCCTCGGGGCCTCGCTCCTCCATGAAACCAGCAGCTCCCGGGGCGCCTCCTGCAAATTCAGCCAGAAAACGGTGTTACAGGAGTTGGTCCCAGCTGGGCCCGCGCCTGGGCTGTCACTGAATTCCGGCCCCCACAGGGGTCCCTCCTGCTCCCCGTCCCGAGGCTCCCGGAGCGGAGGCCACAGCAGCAGAGGCTCCCCAAGGGCCACCCCCCTACGGCCAGGTCCCCGCAGGACCTGTGCTGTGCCTTCAACCTCGGGTCAGCTGGAACCCCAGTGACCTCGGGCTGCGATGAACTCTCTGGGAGGCAGCGGGAGGGAAAGCAAATATTTTGACCATTAAACAGCCGATGCCCAAAGCCTGATGTTAGGCAACGTCACTGCCCCCGCCCACTGCCCGCAGCTTCCGACCTGTCCCCCGCGGCTGGGACCCGGCCTGGAGGTGTGCGGGGGTGTCCGCAGGGCAGCACCCACACGGGCAGGGGGTTCCCTCCAGTCGGGGGGTTTCGGCCCATTTCCTACACGTCTTCCCTGGGACCCGGGCGTGGAGCCGGTGGGAAGGCAAAGGGCGTGTGGAGGACGCTCACAGGCATTGGAGTCACCCCAGAGCCGCCACCTCCCTCCCTCCGGACTTTCCCGAGGGTCTGGGCCGGTTCCTTTGAACAGATGGGGGCCTTTCAGAGTGATTATAAGTACCCGGTCCGTGCGGGCCTGGAAGGAGGGGCCTCAGTGCTGCGACAGGCGACGGAGGACCGGGTGCAGCAGGAGGTGCACTGAGCTCGCCCGAGTCTCCGCGCCCCCTACCCGCTGTGGGCAGAGCCTGGGGCTGGGAGGTGTCAGTGCTGAGGCCTTGGGGAGACCGTTTATCACGTGAACTAACATGTCTGCTCCGGACCCTGAGACGCGAAGACCTATGTGTGCACATTGTGTGTGCACATTGTGTGTGCACATGGCGTGTGTGTGCACATAGCGTGTGTGCGCACGGACACAGCCGCTGAGACGTGCATGCAGCCCGGACGCGCCTTAGCTCAGGGTCAGGGAAATGGCCACGTTTCCACGGTGGGTTACCACGGAGACGG